CCCCGAATCCTCCAAAATTTCTCAAAAAGTGTGAATATTAGCCTTCAATTTTGAAATATTTGACTTTTTTTCATCCGGAAATAAAAATTGTCGAAATTTTTACCATGGTCCCTAATATCGTCCAGGAGTCCCATTGGGTGGATGGAACCATCCAATTTGCCTTTAACCAACCAATTTACCGGTTTACTACTTGCACCGATTTCATTAACTCGAGCCTACCACGAACATTTATGACAACAAATAATGATTATAGATGGTTCCAAATATCATTATATGATCCTGAGATGTATCCCCTAAAATTTCAAGACTTTTCGACACCAGGTCTCGAAATCTCTAAAATATCTCAAAAAGCCAAAATTTTGGAATTTTCGACACCAGGTCTCGAAATATTAGTCTTCAATTTTGGAATTTTTCGACTTTTTTCACCCGAAAATAAAAATTGCCAAAATTTTTACCATGGTCCCTAATATCCTACGGGAGTCCAATTGGGTTGGTGGAACCATCCAATTTGCCTCTAAACGACCAATTTAATTACCGGTTTACAACTTGCACGGATTTCATTAACTCAAGCCTAATACGAACATTTATGACAACATATATTGATCATATATGGTCCCAAACGACATTATATGACCCCAAGATGTATCCCCTAAAATATTAATACTTTTCTACACCGGGCTCCGAAACCTCCAAAATTTCTCAAAAAGCGTGGATATTAGCCTTTAATTTTGAAATTTTTTGATTTTTTTTCATCCGGAAATAAAAATTTCCATAATGTTTACTATGGTCCCTAATACCCTCCGGAAGTCTAATTGGGTTGGTGGAACCATCCAATTTGCCTTTAAACGACCAATTTACCGGTTTACAACTTGCACCGATTTCATTAATTCAAGCCTACCACGAACATTTATGACAGCAAATGATGATCATATATGGTTCCAAACGACATTATATGACCTCGAGATGTATCTCATAGAATTTCAAGACTTTTCGACACCGGGCCCCGAAACCTCCAAAATTTCTCAAAAAGCGTGGATATTAACCTTTAATTTTGGAATTTTTTGACTTTTTTTCGTTTGGAAATAAAAATTGCCGAAATTTTTACCATGGTCCCTAGCTAATACCCTCTGGGTGTCCAATTGGGTGTGTGGAACCGTACCATTCAATTTGCTTTTGAACGACTAATTTACCGGTTTACAATTTTCATCGATTTACCGGTTTACAACGACCAATTTAATTAACTTGCACTGAACCCGACTTGATCCGAAATTGATTCAAACCCGTTTTAACCTGTCAAAACCCGAATTCAACCGGACTTGTTACTAACCTGACTTGAATTCAACCCGACTCGAATTTTACCCAACCTATTACAAACCCGACCCGAAATTAACCCGACTTGTTAGTTATTGACCTGACACAAATTCAACCCGACTTGTTATTGACCCGACCCGATTTTACCTTACCTATTACTTACCCAAGCCAAAAATTCAACCCGATCTGTTACTAACTCGACTCGAAATTAACACGACTTTTTATTGACCCGGCCAAAATTCAACCCAATCTGTTCTTGACCCGATTGCAAATCACCTTACATGCAATTTAGTCCGCCTTATTATTGTTGGTCAAAGTGTTTTGTGTTGGGAGACCAAGTCGGTCTAAGCCAGCAAAAGAAAGGAGCATCATCCTCAAATTTAAGAGTTCAATATAGTATATATTTGTTGTATGGTCAAATGAGATAATTATCTTCCTAAATTATAGTATAATGCCATATATATCATAGTCAAAGGAAATAATTAGCTTGATAAAAATGATAATTACCTATTTAAAGTTAGTTGAACCCGAATATGATCTGACTTGAAAATGACACGACCTGATTGTAACTTGCAAATTACTGACTTGAACATAACCCGACTTGAATCCGAGAATGACCCAACTTGGAAATGACCCAACCTGATTATAACCCACAAATTATTGACTTGAACCGAACTCGACTTTACCTAATAATGATCCGACTTGATTATAATCTGTAAATTATTGACTTGAACCGAACCCGACTCAAACTCGAGAATGACCCGACCTGATTCTAACCCGCAAGTTATTGACTTGAACCGAATCCGTCTCTATCCCGAGAATTACCCTAACCCGTTTTAACCCGTGAAAACCCGAATTAAACCCGACCTATTGTTCACCCGACTCGAATGTAACCTGACCCAAACCTAGGAAGAAGTATGACCCGACGTGACCCAACTCAAGCATGACCCAACCTAAACCCGACCCGCATAGGTTATGGAATTAATGTGAATTGACCCAACCCGAGTTGACCCGACCCCATACCCGACCCGATTACCCGAATTTACATCTCTACGTATTACTGTGCTCTATATATAACTTGAACCATGAAATTTCCTCCATTCAAAAGCCATCCAAATCAAAACTCAAAGGTACATGGGATAATTTATTACTTTTGGGCCCGTCATGTCATATTGATCAGTTAACTCCTTTAAAGGGCTCAGTCCAACCCGAAAACCTATAATATGAATACTTACAAAATTTTGACTTTTCACATGCAATGCATTAAATATTTAAATGTATATATTAACACTCGTAATTGTTACAACATACTCCATTTTTAAAATTTCGAATTGGTGTTATGTAGAGGTGGCCAGTGGGCCGGGTTGGACCCAGCCCACCCTAACTCGCACGACTAGTGGGTCACGTGGGTCCGACCCGGTTTCAATCCGGCACAGCCCGGCACAGCTCGGATTTAATCCGGGTTGTGTCGTGGGTCCAAAATTTTCGACACAACCCATTTCAACCCAGCTCAGTTTAACCCGTTTGATTCGACCCAAATCGCACAACCCGTTTTGACTCATTTAATTCGACACACCTAGCCCGTGAACCCACCTAACCCGACCCACCTGGCACAACCCAGCCCGCACGGCCACCCGCACGAATGACCCACCCAACCCGCACGAGCCAACCCACCTAACCCGCACGCATGACCCACCCAACCCGCACGCATGACCCACCCAACCCGCACGGCCGGCACAACCCGCACGGCCCGCACAACCCGCACGGCCCGCACAGCCCGCACAATTCGCACGACCCGCACGGCCCGCACGGCCTAACATCCATTTTAAAAAAAAAACGGCTAGTTTTTTGTATCTAACGGCTAGTTTTTTGTATCTAACGGCTAGTTTTTTAAGTGTATGATCATCCATTCTATTTTTCCTATAAATACCAATTCCATTTCACTCAAATTTCCACACAAATTCAAGCTTTCTTTCTCTCTTACTTAAAAATTCTTATTGTTCTCAAATTCTCAAGTGTTATATAGAGTTATATTTTTGTTAAAAAAAATCTCCTTAATATTATTATTAGTATTCTTAAGATTCTAAAAAAAAAAAGTTCTTCTCCATATTATAATTAGTAATCATACAAAAAAAAAATGAGCTCAAGAGGAGGAATGGGAAGGAGTCAAAGTGGTGGTCGAAGTGGTAGCCAAAGGAGTGGTGGTGCAAATTTTTCGTATGAAATTAATACGGAAAATTTAAACCAATTTGTCAATGAATATGGAGATTATGGTTTAGGAGATAGGCAAAATATTCAAACGTCTCCACCACAACATTTCTCCCACGAGTCCCACCAATCATCAAGTTCAACTATGCCACCTCCATCGCAACCAACATCTCAACCTTCATCTCAAGGTAATTTCTAATTAAATTTTTATTGTTATGAATATTTAAAAAAACTATTATTAATGATTATAAAGTTAGTTTAGTTTCCAATTTTCTATGATTTACAATTAGTTAATTACCATGAAAAATGCGTTTAAATAAGTATAATTAAAATATTTAAAATTTAAAAGCTTATTTTCATGAATAGCATTTAAAAATTAATTTTAATAATTTGATTTATGAAAGGTGGTGGCGGTGAAAGTAGAGGTCGAGCACATTTTTCTTGGGTGTGGAAACATTTTGAACGAGTTGAGGTCACACCCCCGGGATGGCAACCTGGTCAACCAAAGAGGTTCACGTGTACATGCCTAGTTTGCAAGGCGCTAGGTGCAAATGTCAAGTCATATAATTGGAAAACGGGAGATGGAACCGGAACCTTGAGTCGGCATTTGCAAAATAAACACGACTTGTTCGAAAATGGCCCCCGTCCTTCGGGGGGTGGCGTCCAAACACAATTGGGTGGCGTCCGACCCTAACCCACAAACCCACCCGACCCTAACCCACCTAACCCACAAACCCACCCGACCCTAACCCACTAACCCACCCGACCCTAACCCACCTAACCCACAAACCCACCCGACCCTAACCCACTAACCCACCCTTCGACCCACCCTAACTCACTAACCCACCTTGACCCGTCTAACCCACGAACCTAGCTCGACCCACCCATGACCCGTCTAACCCACAAACCCAGCTCGACCCACCCACGATCCGTCTAACCCACAAACCCAGCTCGACCCACCCACGACTCGTCTAACCCACGAACCTAACCCTGGTGTGTCCAACTTCTCCGACCCAACCCACGACCCGGCCCACCCTACCCTACGTGTGTCGTGCCGTGTGTCATGAAACCCCAACCCGCGACCCACCTAACCCTAACCCAGCTCGCACGACTCGCACGGTGGACACCTCTAGTGTTATGCTATGATTGATTTGTATTGTTATAGCATTATCTAAACAAACCACAATTGAGACATAAAGTAGGAACAACATTAAGATATAAAAAAAGTATTAATGTAGTAAAATTTCTATTTTTTAAAAATAATATTAGATAAATTTCAATATTAAGTTTTAAAAATGGTCCAGATGACATAAGTGAAGTTGGTTGGAAGGTGGGTTATTTAAGTATTCCGTAATAATTATACTAGTACGGTGTAGTAGTCATTATACTCATCAATTGTCTCAATAAGTGGTCACATTTTTCTTAAACTGTGGCAATAATGACAATGAGACGATGAACTAAGTAAAACTATAGCAAACCACTTAATGGTAACATCAACTATTCTTAAAATATTTTTTAACATCATGTAAATTTTTTGAATTGTTTGTAACTAAACATATCACAAATTACAAGTACAACCAATAGTTGATTTAGAATTTAGACTATTTTTAGTGGCTTCATCAACCTTCCTAAGCTGCACATCCTTTAACACAATTCTTGTCCATTCTCTAAAATAAGTATCATTAAGACCGATCTTACCACCCTTAAAAATGGACATACATCGACGATCGTCCTCGGGATAGGGACAAGGTTCACCATTCGGGTCACGGTATGCGCCTTGATGTTTCATACCGGACCAGCTTGCAATCCAGTGATAGACATATTGGCCTACACCGGCTAACTTTAGCCAACCCTTAGGAAAAAACTCCATGACACTACTATTCCTGTCCATTAGGAACATGTTGGTTAATTGGGCACCATGAGGTGATACCAATATATCTGTTATGCTCATCAATTCAACCTGTCATCATCAAATTCAAGGCATACATAATTAATTAGCATTGATTAATCATATTAAATTTTTGCTTGTTTTATTCTGTGAAGGTATATATATACAAGTATATAATAATATAATGGAAATACATACTTCATTTTATTTCTATTCCTATGAATTGTAACACACCACTTTAACACGCACTTTAAAAAAGATATTAAACTCGATAAATATTATACTAAAACGGTGTGTTACAAGCTATTGAAAGCCAGAGGAAATATACATACATAGCTATGTAACTCATGTCAGATCTCTATATATAATCATGAATGTCAAAAAATAAGTATTTGTTGTTACATGGTTTATTGTTGTGTTAGATCCCTCTTCATATTAAAGGCTATTACCTACTGTGTAAACCAAATTCTAATTGTAATTAATTAATTAATAGATTGATCGCTTATGGTTGATAACTTGTATGACATGTCAACTATTTTAGTGTGCTCCAATAAAAATAGTGCAGAGAATAAGAAACCTATGTCACTTCCAATTAATCCTAGCTCTATGGCAAAGTATATCAAATGGCGGATCCACTAAAGTACATGGGGTGTCGGCAAACACTCCATTAAAACTGTATAATGTTCTTTTTTAAATTAAAGTGATCTTTTGTCACTTGATATCCCATGATCATAATATCGACATTCTGTCTTCAAAATCCTTACCCACCCTTATATCACTATTTAAAAAATTACAACGGTCACATTTGGTATTGTATAATTGCTCAAAAACTGCCACCATACTTAAAATATGAAACAGTAATATATAATCAAATTTATACAAAATGCCCCCCAGTAGATTAAATTCAGCAATCCAACTACATATTTTTAAGATTGCAACTTTGCAAGGAACACACTATTTCTATGCCACTATATCCCTAGATAATCAACATTAAATGTTAATAACCAGCGTAATAATATAATTAACAACTACTCTATTCGTCTCTAAATAAATAATTGCGACTGAAAGTATTAATATAAAAAAGGACTAACCTGTTGACAAAAGGTGAGATTATTAGAGTAAGCTACATATAATTGGCAATTGGTAAACTTGTCACATTCGGTTTTAAAGAGGTCAATAACAGCCGCATCATTTGTGAAAGATCTAGCCCCAGTCCTCATAAATAGAGTCATCCCAATTTCATGTGGCCTACGATCAAGGCTTACACTACAAAACATCCTTGCTTTGCACCTTATTAGATCATACGTTTCCATCCTTCTTTGCCTTGACATCCCTCCCTCGTTATGCCTCATAACCACCGCCTCTTCGAAGCATACCGGTTGCTCGTCTTCAACCCCGTCAAACCTATTAATTCATCATCAAATCCATACAAAACAATTTTATTAGATTATGAACACATGTCATATGATCATTTTTAGTAGTTCCTAGCTAGATAGTTAATACTCTATAATTAATTAATTTTCCTTCAATTTCACTTCAAGTTGGCCCGGCCCAAAATGGGTCGGGCTTAACACAAAAATTTTGACCTAAGCCATGGTCCAATAACGGATAGACCATTTTAGCTTTTGGTCTAATCCAACCCCATTTTAGGTTAATTTAAGATTGCAACTCTGCTCATGAAAATATGAAATTATGTTGAGTCAATAATAAAGAATTAATATACGCAATTTAAATAAACTTACACTTCAATATTGATTGGCCCATCAAAAGTGGCTTGCAAAACCAAACGTATCCAAAGACCCATCTTAGCCCTAAGTTCACCCCAATGGTATAACACCCATCTAGAAGGCAATTTGCACCCATTTTTCATATGCCATGCTACAAACGGAAATACGGCGGACAAACCATGCCATATATTATCATAATTATAATGATTATATGACACAAATGTTAGGCCTTTCATAAGGGTGGCATTATGGGGTAACGCTTCCGGCCATGCAAGTGCATAATAATTCCATGACCCATCATGTGTGTCATGACCCTTTATACATAGGATCCTTCCCTTTGAGTCATTTGATGGGAACTTTTGGTATTGCACGTCCCCTTCCTCGTCGCGTGTGTCGTACATGGAACTCATGAACCATGTGTGCCCTTGGGCGGCTGTGCTCGAGTATCTTAAGTCCTTCAAGGGGAGGAATGTCACCGCGTGTTTGAGCTTCTCAATCTCATCTTCGTTCGTTGAATTTTGATTTCCTAAGGGGGAGGAGGAGGAGGAGGCAACCTTCTTGAAGGACTCAATCGACGGAGGGAATTGAAGAGAAGGAATTTGGAAGAGAAGAAATATGGTTAAACATATGAGTAAGATGATAATAGAATGTTTTGGTGAATAGTTGAAAGATAAGTTGTTGTGCTTGCTTTTAGGGTTGTAATATTTAGGTACCAAGGGAGGAATATTATGAATATTAGAGGTATGTGTGTGTCTTTCACTAGTTTGTGGAAAATTTTCCATGGCGGCTTAGCCAGGTACATACATTCAGATCCCGGATTTATTTGTTCTCACTTATGTGCACCCTAAATCATTGCCCTCACATTTTGTATATGTGTGTATGCTAAAGTGAGGAAGAAGCTTTGCTAATGAAAGTATGCATATATAACGTGTAGTAAGAGCAAATTAGGGGTGGTTGTTAATACATTCTTCAATTTTCGAGGGTGTACATGTGGTTAATATAGCACTACTCACCCAAAACTAATGAAAACAAATGGTAAAGTTCATGTGCTAAGCTAGCAAACCTCGAGGAAATTCTGCAATTGCCTTACTTCTTACGGAAGTATATACTTTATAACTTATCAACTTGTTAAGAATTAGAGGGTGTAAAATAGATTTATCGTGATATGAACCTAACTAATTAAATTTGTGTTTACTTTCTTGCATAGAATTTTTGGTGCTACTTTACTGCATAATGAAGTATAAACGTTGTTGTCATAAAGTTTAGAATTCTTTCCATTAGTGCGATAATCACAACTGATACTGATGTAAACTCGATTTGATCACACGTCTTTAGTATAACTCTCAATACTTTAACCAAACGATACTCACGTAATTATATCAAAATCGAAGACATTTGCTAATCGAAATATATATGCAATCATTATTTTACCCCAAAAACAAAGGAATTAAAAATGGGATTTATTGGCCTAATTTAGTTGTTCTTAGTTGGATTAGGCAGGCAGTGCAATACTCTTGTGACCTTGCCCAAAAAAGTAAGAAAAATAGTTAGGCCTTGTTAGCTACATTTTCATGAAATAAGCTCCAATAGTTGAAAGTTTTTGTTTCAAATTTCCTTAGCTCAATTTTAAGAAGTTGCTAATTTTCTTAGTTTAAGTATCACCCAAATTTTAGAAGTATTAGCTTAAGTATCACCTAATTTTTAGAAGCAACACGCAAATGCGTCTTTTGGATCAAAATAAAGTACTAAGAAAAATTATATAACTTGTACCCATGTTTTTTACGCTTATGAGCTTGTCTTGTACTTCGTATAAGATATATAACTAACCCGGGTTGTTCAACATGTCGACACTAGAATGTGGCAACGGACCTAATTGTATACTTTCTCCGTTTTCTTTTAGATGCAACACACACTTTTTCACGGTATTTAAGAAATGTGGGATTCACATGATATAATACACTTTATAATGGGATGAGTGGTTGTTAGGAGTGTAATTTAGTGGGCCATGTGCTTTAAATAAGGGAAATAGTATAGTTTTTCCTTAAAGTAACTTTCCTTTTATAGTGTGTTGCAAGTATTGTGACATTTCCTTTGTAGGGAAGTGTTGCAAGTAAAAGAAAACGGAGGAATTACTTCGTATAGATTATACACTATAATAGGCATATCTTGAGATTTGTAGTATTCATGAGTTCAAAGTCAACCCTCAAATTACTTTGACGTGTCGTATATCAAACGGTTGGTTTTATTCAATTATTGGAAAAAGGGCTCATTTGAATACTTGATATAGTTGACATTTGACCAACTTATAATCAAACAGAATAATATAACATTGCACTAATATAGTCGTACCCTCACTTCTATGATAAATGAAGTTAATTTATTACTTTGACATTTGGCGGCACAATGCCCGATCGGGTGAGATGTTCTCACATGATCTCAATATTATATATATATAAAAAAAACATAAAGCTGGATGTTTTTTTTTTTATTTATTTATTTTTTTTATTTTAAAAATAGATATATGTTCTTTACAAAACAATTATATGTGATATTCTTTATAAAATAACTGTATGTTCTTTGCAAAAAAAAATATATGTTCATTCCGCCTTTTTTTAAAAAAAAAAAAAAAAAAATAGAGCATCCGCCTGCAGGCAAAAAATTTCTGCTATATGGATCTATCATGGTTTAGTCGTTTGGCCTTCACTATTTTATAGTACCCCTTTTCAATGATTCCACAGACTATATATTATATTATACTTATGTATAGAAGGTATTTGGATAATGTTAATGTATGAGTTATAAAGACACATGGTGTTAGGAATTTGTAGGTGAATTATTCAAATTTTCGAATTTGGATGTTACCTGATCATTAAAAGTTACCCCTATTGCTTATTCTAATAATTAGGGAGCTTTTGCTTAGAAGAGACGAGGAATCTAGTGTAAACTGAATTACTAGTATGATTTAAAGGAGAAAAGAGCTTGGAGTATTGAATTTCAGGTGTTCCATTGGATTAGGACCTGCATTCTGAGTCTTGTTCCGCTTGGTAGAAATGGAGATTAACATTAGTAAAAGACCAAAAATAGAGGTAGCAATCATAATGGATGTGTGGAGAAGGTCCTGTTGGTTTGGCCATTTCAAAATAGTCATGTTAAAGCAATAAATCCATTCAGATAGAATTCTAATTTAGGACTCCAGGACACTTAAGATTAGGTCGGTTCAATTTTTGACGGCTCTGACTATTTGACACCTTTATGTATCAGCAATTCAGTAATCTTTTATACTACCTCCGTTACATATTATTTGCAATGATTTGACATAAAGTAGAGAGGGAGTCTAATCGTTGCAAATAATATGTAACAGAGATAGTACTACATAAATATGTAGTAGAGAAATCAAATTATTTGAGTGTTTCTGATATCTATCATATATAAAATCCAAACATATGAGATTGACTAGATTAATCAAACGTCAAAACACCATTAGAAAAAGTATGTTATGGAGGATAACATTAAGCTACAGTCTACAGAGCAAAGGCACGCAAAGGATCTAGGCCCTAGTGAAGGCCGTAGCTGACAATCAAGGTTCATTTTCATATGAAGGTACATGCAAAGTTAACATGCTCAAGGGACTGCACACAAAGGGTATAAGGAAGGTGGTTGCTGGTAGATAGGGGTGGCAATTCGGATCAGCAGGTCGGGTTTGGGTCAGATTTCGGGTTGTTCGGGTTTAGGTCGGGTTCGGGTTTCTCTCAGTAACTTCGGGTCGAGTTTGGGTCGGGTTATCGGATTGGGTCAAGGATTGCCAGCCCTCCTGGTAGACGATAATCAAGGTTCGGTAAAGGTAGCGACAAAGTTGATGTGGTGAAGGGACCTGCACTGCACACTATCGGTGAAGTTAATCGGTGAAAGGACTGGACTCAATCGCAACCACGGGCAGGTTAAGGTGAATGAAAAGGTTTAGGAAAGGTCATCGGATTAATGGCAGTTGTTTGGGCCTAGTCCATTGTCCTAAGCTCAGTGACCTGGAATTACGAAAATACCCCTCCATGATCCAACCCATCATTAGTCAGAGCAAAGTACGGATTTACCCCTAATCTGTCCAATTAAGTACAACTTCTGCCACCTGAAAGTACATCTATAAATAGCTCTCCAATCATTGATGATGGTAACTTTTTCCTAATTCTCTAATCTTCTCTCTCTACTTTATCTCTCTAAAGTGCTCTTTCTCTCTCTACTTTCTCTCACTAGAAAGTACGTTCGCTGACTTAAGCATCGGAGGGGCTTTCCCGGGTCACACCCCCGGGGTAGTTAACCTTCTTTCTTTTGCAGGCCTAGCTCTCGGACAACAAGGCGTAGCTGAGGGAAATTTGGACACATATTGGACATAGTTCCAGGACATCTTGATTACCTTTATTACCCTAAGCCTCCCAGGAGCATTCTGTTTCCAGAAACAGGTGGCGCCGTCTGTGGGGATAACAAACAAAAAGTCATGGTGAACACTAGGCGTCCCCGTAGCTCTCATCAAGATGCCATTAGGCAAGCTCCAATTCTCTCGGCCAGGAACCCTCATGTAGTCGAAGAAATTTTACCTAGGACTCATAGTGAGCCGGAGAGAGAAGTGAACAGCCCCCAGGTGGTTACTCGCCGAGACTTAGACCAGCTGGCAACCCAAATCAACAGAAACTTGGAGGAAAGCCTCAGGGCACTTATCAACCAAGGGGTGGGGCAAGGCAGGCAGGGGAACGCTCCACAACCTAATCCTCATGCGTCCCATATCCATCAAGTCTCTTCTCGGCCTCAAACATCTCGCCGCTCTCAGCCCAATCAGCCCCATGACCCCTAGCAGGAGACAAGGCAGCCAAGCAGGCCAAGAGATGCTAGAGAGATCATCAATGACCGAAGGCTGAAGGATGGCACTTTAGATGCCCGAGAGATAATCAACTCCAAGAGGGAGAACTCCAAGGAAGATAACAACCCCCCTCTGGAGAGTTCGAACTAGAGTTCACTCTCGGCATGGGTCAACAAGGTACCGAGATAGCATGATTCACTCGGCTACCTCCAGACCAATAAGAGGAGCTAATCAGCCTGCTCGTTCAGCAAGCAAAAGCCCCGAGCGTCCTTCCTCCCGCAGGCCCCGGAGGCTCGGGATTGTCAAGAACATCCCCCCCTTCAGCCAGGAGATAATGAATACCCCTATTCCTCCTAAGGTCTACATTGGACCCTTATGATGGAAAGACAGACCCGAATGATCATCTGAACGCTTACAAAGCACAAATGGGAGTCCAAACCGGGTGTGAGGCTTCATGGTGTAGATTCTTCCCTACTACTCTCAAGGGCATAGCCCAGACATGGTTCAACAACCTTACCCCCAGGAGCATAAGGACGTTTGACATGTTAGCCACTCAGTTCAAAAAGCACTTCATCGCTGGGAGTAGGCAAACAAAGACTAGCGTTCATTTGATGACGGTGAAGCAAGAGGAGAATGAAAGTCTTAAGGACTACATCAAGAGGTTTAACACTAAGTCTCAGCTCATCCCCGACCTCCAAGACAATGTTGCTTTCACAGCCCTTCTCTTTGGGCTCAAGTCCAACAAGCTGAAATTTGAACTTGTCCATGACAAGGTGAGCACCTTCTCTGAAGCTATGGAGAGAGCTGAAAGGATCATTGAAGCTAGTGAGGTGTGCAAGGCACCCGTGACAAACAACAAGGGGAAGAGAAAGCAAGAAGATAATTATCATGACAACCGGAATAGAAGGCCGAGGAGGGCTGAAAGTGATGATGAAGGACTTAAGTACAATGCTGACAGGCGTGAGATCTACTTGGACATAAAGCATAAGGCTATTCTTCCTAAGCCTAACCCCATGAACACACCGATAGAGCAAAGGAACAAGAAGCTTTGGTGTGAGTACCACAAGGAGTGTGGCCATACCACCCGGAACTGCAGAGAGCTTAAGAGAGCCCTTGACAAGCTAGCTGAAGAGGGAAAGCTTAACAGATATCTTAAGTCTCCCCCGAAGGATAAGCAAAGCAAGGCCGCTAAGGAAGTACAGGAAGCTCATAGTTCAGCTGACACTAACCTGAGCATCAATGTCATAGCCGGAGGGTTTGCCTCCGGGGGCTTGTCTAACAGGGCACGCAAGAGTCATTTGCGGTCGCTCGAAGGGCCCATCTATGATATCGGCACCCCCTCATCTGCCCCGAAGGACCCTCTCATGGTATTCGGGGGATGACAAAGGAAAAAAGATTCAAAGGCCTCATGATGATCCCTTAGTGATTCATATGAAGGTAGCCAATGCTAAGGTGAAGAAGATCCTAGTGGATAGTGGAAGTTCAGCGGACATCATTACATGGAAATGCATCGAGCAAATGCGTTTTGGAAGAGGTGACTTGACACCCCTAGAGAAACCCTTAGTGGGATTCGGGGGGCATCATGTATACCCCCTGGGAACAATCAAGCTGCCCGTCCGTTTGGGAGAAAAGAACAAGGGGAGAAGCTTGGTTCATACATTCTTAGTTGTGGATACCCCTCTTCCATACAACATGGTTCTTGGCCGACCCCTCCTCAATAGGGTTAAGGCTGCCATCTCAACCTATCACTTACTCCTCCAATTCGAGACCGATGACGGATCGGTGGGCAAGATATTCGGAGATCAGTTTGAGGGAAGAAAATGCTATGTAGATAGCTTTAAGACGCCTGAGAGCTCCGTCAATCAAGAGGACAAGGGGTCCAAGAGGAAAGCCATGGAAATTGATGAACCTCCTCATCCGGTCATGAGCATTTACATGGCTGAGAATCCAAAGCAATATGGTAGGCTTAGGCCTATTGAAGAAGATGAGAGCATACCCTTAGGGGATGATCCTGCTCGGACCGTGAGGGTGGGAAAGAACTTGGACCCCCTGCTCAAGGAAGAAATCATTCAAGTACTGAGAGAGTACAAGGACATCTTCGCTTTTACAGCAGATGAAATGCCGGGCATAGACCCCGAGGTAATGACTCATGAGCTGAACATCAAGGAGGGCTACAAGCCCGTCAAGCAAAAGCTCCATCATGCTGGGCCGAAGAGGAATAAAGCTGCAGCCGCTGAGGTTAAAAAGCTTCTCGAAGCGGGTTTCATTCGAGAATGCCAATATACCGAGTGGTTATCCAATGTAGTGCTGGTTAGGAAGCCCAACGGTTCTTGGCGAATGTGTGTGGACTTTACAGATTTGAACAAGGCATGCCCGAAGGATGATCACCCTCTTCCTAAGATTGATAGGTTGGTGGATTCGACCGCTGGTCACGCCATCCTAAGATTCATGGATGCCAATGTTGGGTATCATCAGATCCCCATGTCTGAGAAGGATCAAGCCCACACAACCTTTATCACTAGCCAAGGGGTGTATTGCTATAATGTGATGCCTTTCGGCCTCAAAAACGCCGGGGCTACCTACCAGCGCCTTATGAACAAAATCTTTGAAGGGCAACTAGGTCGAAATGTTGAGGCCTATGTTGATGACATGATAGTGAAAAGCAAGGAAAGTCCGGACCACATAGCTGATCTAAGGGAAACCTTCACAATCCTTAGGAAATATAAAATGAAGCTCAACCCCAGCAAGTGTGTCTTCGGGGTGCAAGGTGGAAAGTGTCTGGGCTTCATGGTTGATCAGCGGGGTATTGATGCCAACCCCGATAAGATTCAAGCTATTCTTGACATGGAATCCCCCCGAAATGTGAAGAAAGTGCAACGCCTTATAGGCTGCCTAGCCGCATTGGGGAGATTCCTATCCCGATCAGTAGACAAAAGTCTATCTTTCTTCAAGGCCCTCAAGAGGCCTAAGTTCTTATGGGATGAAAAAGCCGAGAAAGCCTTCCAGCAGCTGAAAGAACATTTGATGAATACTCCGAAGCTTGTTAGCCCCCTCCCCGGGGAGACATTGTTTGTATACTTGGCCATATCAGACTATGCCCTTAGTGCGGTCCTTGTTGCTGAAAGAGAGGAAGGCCAAGTACCTGTCTATTTTGTCAGCCATGCCCTGAGGGGGGCTGAAACCCGATATACTCTTATAGAGAAGGTGGTCTATGCTTTAGTGATGGCAAGTAGGAAGCTGAAGCCATACTTTCAAGCACACCCAATCAAAGTCCTCACCAGCCAACCAATCAAGAAAGTGTTAGAGAGCAAAAATCACTCATCCCGAATGACAGATTGGTCAGATCAGTTAGCTGATTTCGGAATCGAATTTGAACCCCGGAAGGCCATTAAGGCCCAAGCCTTAGCCGACTTCATAGTTGAATGCGCTCATAGGCCTACTCCAATTGACACCTCCGCCCCTTGGGCTCTTTATGTGGATGGGTCGTCTAGTAAGGCCGGGAGTGGAGCTGGGCTAGTCATCATCTCCCCAGAGGGAGATAAGTTTGAATATGCAGTCAAGTTTGCCTTCCATGCATCAAATAATGAAGCTGAGTATGAGGCTCTTATCTTAGGGCTGAACTTATGCAAATTCATGAAGATAAGATCCATTCAAGTATGCTCAGACTCTCAGCTCATAGTGGGGCAAATGACAAAAGAATTTGAAGTAAAGGAAGAAAACATGAAAGCCTATTTTGAAAAGGCTGAAAGCTTAGCAAGATCGTTTGACAACTTTGAAATCAGGCACATCCCCCGTCAGAGAACCAGCAAGCTGATGCTCTTGCCCGATTAGCAAGCTCGGCTGAGGGGATAACCCCCCGGAACATCATGTGGGAAGTGTTAGAGAAGCCAAGTACCCAAAAGCCTGTTATCATGGACATTGATAAAGGGGAAACTTGGATGGATCAAATCATTCAATGCTTAAAGGGGGAGCTGCCCGAGGACACCCCCGATTTCAAAATGACAAAAAAGCGAAGTCAATGGTTCTTGCTTCATGAGGGGTTCCTCTACAAAAAATATTTCACTCACCCGCTGCTGAAGTGCATAACCCCGGAGGAGGGAAATTATGTACTTAGAGAAATCCATGAGGGGGCATGTGGTAGCCATCAGGGTGGAAGGACTATAGCTGGAAAAGCGCTAAGGGCCGGATTCTATTGGCCAACCCTGAGGGATGATGCTACCAGAATTGTCAAGAAGTGTGAAAAATGCCAAAGGTTCGCTGACATGCCCCATGTTCCCGCCAATGCACTCACAAGTATTCAGTCAGTCCTACCCTTTGATCGTTGGGGCATGGACATCCTAGGACCATTCCCCATAGCCTCAAGACAAAGGAAATTTCTGATAGTAGCGGTGGATTACTTCACCAAATGGGTTGAGGCTGAGCCGGTGGCAACAATCACTAATAAGCAAGTCCAGAAGTTTATCTGGAGGAATATCATCACCCGCTTCGGGGTACCCCGCATCTTAATCTCAGATAATGGCCGACAATTCAACAGTAGGCCAACCATAGAATATTGTGGGCGTTTTGGAATCAAGACAAGGTTTTCAGCTGTGTGCCGACCCCAGACCAATGGCCAAGCAGAGGCGGCAAACAAAAAAATATTAAAAGGGTTGAAGACAATGCTGGAAGGTACGAAGGGGTCTTGGGTGGATGACTTGCCCGGGATCTTATGGTCCACTCATACCATAGTCAAGGAAGCTATGGGACAAACTCCTTTTGCCTTAGTATATGGAAGTGATGCGGTACTCCCTGTGGAAGTCGGGATCCCATCCCCCAGGGTTACCTTCTATGACCCCGGCCGGAATGATCAGCTGAAGCTCATGGCCTTGGACTTACTCCCAGAGATAAGGGGAGATGCTTTGCTTCGCTCTATAGAATACAAGCAAAGGATAACTCGTTACTTCAACAAAAAAGTCAAGGCAAGACCCCTTGTTGAAGGCGATTGGGTGCTCCGAAAATGTGAGGCTGCGGGCAAGCCCCCAGCGTTGGGCAAGCTAAGCCCTAATTGGGAAGGGCCCTACAAGATTACAGAGGTAGTCCGCCCAGGAACCTTTCACTTACAAACCCCTGATGGCAAGGTCCTCCCTCGGCCATGGAATGCAGACAACCTCCGGAGGTTTTATGTTTAGTGCATCTTCATCACAATGATACCCTAGGGGCAATAAGAGCCGATGCTAGGAGATCAACTTCAATATAGCGCATCATTGTAATGACTTTCATACTTTTGTTAATATAATGAAAAACCCCTGGTTGGGATGTTTGCCCCATTTATTTTGCATTTGTTATTTACTTAGTTTATTTTTTGAAAATTTTATACCGCTCATTAGCATAGCCAACGTTCATTTAATAGCACCGCATGCCGGGCATCAGGCATTTCGGTTCGATAAACACTAAAATTTGTTCCAATGTTTGGGGCAAGATGCTAGCCTATACTCAAGCATTTGAGATAGTGTCCTGGCTGAAAGATCACTCATAACTTGGGGCTCGTTTAGCCCCCAGCCTAATTTAACAGGTTGGAAAAGAATAACTCTTATAACTTGGGGCTTATGTTAGCCCCAAAATCGTTTTTACTTTGTTATAACAAGCAGGGATAGCTCAGCTCTCCTAGTCCATTTACTTAGCTAAATTATAACTTGAGGCTCGTTTAGCCCCCGAATGATCACACAAATCGTATCCTTACAAAAATAACATAAGGCTCGTTTTAGCCCTTGTTTATGCCTAGGGGCTTCTTTTTGGCCCCTAGGGGTGAGTAGGCAAGCAGAAAAAAGGTATTAAACGACAAACAAGTTGGAGGTTGAGAACATAAAATCTACTACGAATAAGAAAAGCCCAAGTAAAAGTCGAATGTACAAATATACAAGCCGAGGTAGACATCTAAAAGTTCCAGCAAAAACATCATAAGTTTCATAGAAAAGAAGACATCTTAAGAGAAATAGGTGAAGATAATGCCAAGGTCTGGAGAAGCTACTCCTCGGTCATATCCTCCTCAGCAAGCAGCTTCCTCTGCTCCTCCTCCTCGGCCTCCCGAACAAGGTCCTTGACCTTACCTCGTACCTTTGAATATGAGTCCTGGAGACCAAAGGTAGTGAAGGCAACCTGCATATGAGTCAGGACATCCTCAATCCCTGCCTCAAAGGCCATGTATCCAATCTCGGATTGGAAATCAGCACAAGCCGGAGTCTTCTTCCATTCAGCAATCACCTCCTCCTGACTTTGCTCTACCTTCCTCTGAGCCTCAGCAAGGTCGCTCTTCATCTGAGCCAGCTCGTCCTTCCTCTCCTTCAGCTCCTTGGCGATTTGCTCCTTCTCTTCCTTAGCCTCCTTGAGCTGAGTCTCAAGGGCT